ATTAGATTTAACGAGTGCTTAGGTTTGCTGCTACGGGGAAGGTAAAAAGTGTTTTTTGACCATATGTCAATAGTATAGGATGAAATAAATAAATTTGCCAAATTTTATCAATATATATCCATAAACAAGTAAACTACAACAATTTTCATTTTCTCCATAAGAATAACATGGGAATTTTAAATTACACTATTTTTGAATTTTCTCCGTGACTGTTAGGCATACAACAGCGCTTCAATATACTAAATTATTTACTTTTTTATGCTCTACAAAACGGTTTAAAAAGAAATTGCAAAATATTTTGTTTTTAGGGTCAAAAATGGGAAAACCCCATTTTTACCCCATAAACCCCCGTTCCCATAGTCCGATCGTGCTGGTTCGCGAACTCGTTCGAATAAACGTAGGTTTACATGTTCGTACCAAATTTCATCAAAATCGGATCATTTTTGCTTGAGTTATCGCGCTAACGGACACATATATAAATATATACATATATATATATATACGGTAATAGCTACTTTCCTATAGGGAAATTCGCTAAAATCACAAATTATTCATGACATTAAAAGCATAAACATAACTGTAAACAATCCTACTTTGGCAGTTCTCATTGCGTATCACAGTTGTTTGTTGCTGCTTAGTTCAAATTAGCTGTTTAAAACATAAATGCAAAAAAAATATAGTGCTGCACCCTGTTGGTAAATCTTATAACTTTTTAATGCTTTTGTATATCATAGAACCAACTTTTTTAGTTGAAACAGCTAACTAAATTCTTTAATTCCCTTTAAATATGAATACTCATAAGGTTAACATGGGGAACTACAGAGCCACTGGGGCGGAGCCCGAAGGGATTTTTGAGATAAGAATGTGCCTATATGTTAATCGGGAATGTGAGCTATCATCATGCCAAATTTCAGCCCAATCCATCCAATGTTTTATGCGTGACTGACCTTCAAACACACAAACAAACAAACACACAAACTTTCACATTTATAATATTAGTAAGATTTATAAATAAAAAACTTTTTAAAAGCAAAACGTTTTTAAACGCACTAAAAAGTAGAAAATAATTTATAAATATGTGGAGAGTATAAATACTTGTAAGTTTAAAATGAAATACGTGGGGTGCATGCAATTGATAATTATACATTAGTTCAATAGGTGAAGGTAATTGTAAATGATCTATTGCATGCACCCCACGTTTTTTGTTTTAAATCTTACAAGTATTTATACTCTCCACATAATTATAAATAATTTTCTACTTTTTGGTGCGTTTAAAAACGTTTTGTTTTAAACAAGTTTTTTATTTATGAATTATTATCCAATAAATGGCAGCCTCGGCTGAGCGCGCGCTCCGTTGCCGCTTGATGTACTTCTTCGTAGCTAAGTCATTCTTTTATGGAATCTAATTGATACTACAGTTAAATTAGAACCTTTCCCACAGATCCGACAAACCTGACCAAATAATACGTGATTTGGTAGCCAACTAACTTTTTCGTGTTAGTATAAAAAATTTAAAATTTGTTCGGTGGTTTGTGGTTTAATGGGTTTAATTTGAAATAAATTAATCACATTTAAATCATAAGCACCATATGATAATGGTCCATGACTATGCAAAGTTTCAGGATTTTTGTATCGATTCTAAATATTTAAAATTACGATATTATTAGAGCAGCGTCACTGCTCGATATGGTCGTGAGGCTGTTTGTCCCCAAGGTGACGTCACGATACCCCGCCCCGCACCGACATCGCACAGCTACGATGCGCAGTAGCACACCTGTCTTACTTCCACCATGGCCATACTCAACTAACTTAAAACTCTATATCTTACATCTCTATATCTTAGTGATAGACATCAGGCTGTAGTTGTAAATGGGATTACAGTATGTCTTGCTGTAATCCCATTTACAACTACAGCCTGATGTCTATCACTAAGATATAAGATAGCATTCAATGAGAGATAGGCTCAGGTTTTGGACATCATAGAAGGAAAGTTTACTTGGTAGTATGGAATGGGACACTGTGTCGAACGCATTGGTGAGTTCAAACAATCTACAACCAACACTTTGTTTTTTTTCCAAGACCCTCAGAACAATTCTGAACAAGTGACAGCACTGCCTCAATTGTACCGGTACTATGTTTGGCTCTAGGTCCAAACTGACAAGAATGTACTATTTTTGGCTCAAAATCCAACCTCTCTCAAATCTCTTGAACCAAACTGACAAGAAGAAAATATCTTATTTGATTCAAAGTAGGCTACGATTTGTTGGTTGAGAACAATCTCAAAGACCTTTTAAGATACAATACTATAGGCCTATAGTTGTCATAATTGTCTTTTTTCCCTTTCTTAAATACAGGTTTACTACTTTCACATATTTTAATGATCTTGGGAAAACATATGCATACATCCCATAAGTAAATAACATAGGCTAAGGGTTCACATATATGAACTGAGATGTCTGTTTGAGAAAAAATTCATTGCATTCAAATAACCATGTACATCTAAAGATTGGCTATTCGTAATACCCATAATGATAGAATTTGCAGTTTAAACTTATACATGCGCCTAAGGCGATTGTATTCATTTCTTAAATGGGCACAGCCACTTAACTTGAGAGAACTGTAAATTTCAATGCATGAGCTTCTCATGCAATTAGAAGAAGTAGATCAGTGAAGTAGGCCTACTCAAACAAGTAGACTTCTCATTCCATTGTAAATGTTGATTGTCTAGTGACACTGATCATTAGTGATGAAATTTTGTTTATATTATTTTAGGGTTAATTTTATGATTTGTGCTTTACTGTTCGGTTATATAACTAAAGGACGAGTTCTTATTTATGATTAGATCAGTTTTTTGTTGTTGTTTTTTTCCTAGGACGCTAAGCACGAGCCCGGGATTGTTTTTCACATTACTTCAGGCTAGACATAGGGGTTGCGGCAATATCACTTCTAGATCAAATCCAATTATTGGTGATTTGGCAGGATTTGAACCCGGGACCTCAGGGACCGAAGTGCCAAGCTCAAATCACTACACCAGCTCGCTTCTTGGACAGAACTAACAATAAAATGTGCTTCAGCTGTTCTATAAGAATAAGAAATCTACTAAAGGGAGTATGTTTTATCTATGGTATAGATGCAAAAAGAAAATAAGAATAGTTATAACGCCAAGTATACCTAGACAAAATCCTAAGAAATTAACTTTCCTAAAATATTAAAATGATTTGTATATTTTTATCTTTAATAAAAATATGTGAAAAGTAATAAGTATTTTGATATCTTAAATCTAAAATGGTGCTTAATCGTTTTATCTTATAAGTTTACTAACAATATACATTACAGATTTTTAAAAATCGTGTTGCGTGTATGAGAGTATTACGTCTCGGATGAATATTATAGACAAACCTATATTCCCTTAATAGATTTTTCATCCTTATGGATCAGCTGAAGACAATTTTATTGTTAGTTCCGTACGGTGCCGCTAGGATCATTTTTTTGTTTACAATTTGTTTCTTGATATTTCAGTTATTTAATAGAGAAGAAATAAATAAACCAAACAAAAAATATCAAAGAAAATTAGAAAACTGCCCAAATTTCCTGGCAGTTAACCTCCTCGATAATAGTGAAGCTACATATCAGGTCAAAAGAGATAATCCAATGGACCTTCCAAATTGTTTCTAGTTCAAATTTAAAATTGTTTTTCTATGTTAGTGCACTCGTTGGAGTTTAATTAACGCATGTTAAATTGTCATAAAATTTACTTATTGTTCTAGTATAAAATAGATTGTATATAAATACTTGTTAAAAAAAATCCGTTATTCAAAACCTCGTTTAGCCAAATAATACGATTTAATCATAAACAATAACTCGTCCCCTGATTGAGCAAAGCTCTTTTACACATTCTTTGAAAGTATTTTAAGGTATGGTTTGGTAGTCTGGGGTAATGGCATTGGTATCGATGATGTCTTGATACTACAGAAAAAGGCAGTAAGACTTATAAACTGGTTCATCTCTCCCGGCACATTATAGGCCTTTGTTGTGCAAACAGGGATTTTGACTGTGATAAATCTTTATATTTATGAAGTTATAGGGCTAATGAGAAAATATATTTATAAATATATGTCTAGGACGATCGCTTTACTAGGTTTAGGAATAAAATCTACATATCTAAATGTAGATTGACAAGAACACAAAAGTATCAATACACTCTGGGCTTAAAGCTTTACAAACTGCCAAACTATGTTGTAGATATTCCTAGTGATAAGGTATTCTTTGAAATACTGTATAAATGGCTCCTAGAAAACCTAATGTACCTACCAGATTGATGAGTTTTTTGAATCTGAAATAGTTATTTAAGTATGCTGTCATCCTACATAGGTAGCATTAAATAGAAAATTGTATTTAGCTTTAAAGCCTGACTAACTTGTTACTCTAATTGGACTAACATTTTGTAGGCTAATTTGACGAGACCTATTGTAAACAACGCATTTACTTAATGGTCAATACATTTCTTACTCTTATTCTTTGAGATCGGACCTTATGCAAACTATGCAATCAACTAACTCAAATTACGGCTGAACATATTGAGGCCAAACTTTCCAGGGTTATTACTACAAACAGTGTTCATGTTACTCAACAAACAAATTTAATAATGCCTATATAATTTAAAACAAAATATTATTTTTAACATTTGCATATTATGGGTTGCTATGCTATGATGGTTACGAGATAGCAAGATTTAAACAAAGAATCATACCATATGGTTACAGTATTAGCAAACTAATATGGATATCTAAATGCAGTACCAAGAAAAACACCACTCAGGTGAAAACCATTGATCAAGGAATACACAGAATGTACGTATTACATGGCATTTGGAAACTACCACTGATGAAATCTGTTAGTGGTCCTATTTCTCAGAATGATTCTTGGCATTGGTCCGATAATCATGTAACTATGAATGACATTTAAACGAGGGGTACATTAAGAGGACATGTGCTCTCTGGTAAAATTATTTATTCACAGAATAAATACATTGCTTGTACAAAAAACAATAAATAGGGCCTAATAAAAACTTTAAATTCATTGCAAATCCACATTACAGTACAGTACTTATAAATATTTAAAAATATAAAAATTAAACCTAAAACAAACTGTTTAGGAATATAAGTTTTAAAACATAAACAATAAGGCATTTGTCTTGTTGATATTTAATTGGCACCAACAAAAGAATAAAATTGAAAGCCATTACAGCATTTCATCATACATATTGTTATAATTGAGATTACAGTAAAACTCCAGGATCACCAATTACCCAAATCATCTCAAGGAGAAAAAATAAATATAACTCATCCAGAAAAATTTTGTTTGTTGCAGGATTTTGATGTTTGCGATAATCCGATATATATTTGTATGTAGAACAATGTGTTCATTGTGCAACAAGTCTATTGTAGTATCATACTGATTGGGGGGTGATGAGTTATTTGCCCAGAGCCACTGTCAACGAGATGGGGTCCAGTCCAGATTGATCCTTATAATTCGAGTTCTACTGTAGTTCATATTGAAAATAGAAAGGATGTATTTTCAATAGACTTTGACCTTGAGCACTGCATGAGTGAGAATTTGTATGAATGCTTGTTGTATGGCCCCGACCAGGAGATGGTCGTCATATGGTGTAAGGCTGGCAGGGTGGTAGCTGCCGTGGGCGCAAGCCTCGGACAGACAAACGCGTCCTACTTGCAGCAGTAGACTCACCACGTCATCCACTAGTGGAGGGAATGCTTCACACACACGTACCAACGCAGGCAGGGCAGGGGTGAATAGCTCTGTACGGTTCTCTGACGACAACACTGTAATACAATAATCACTTAATTGACAAGATGGCTGTGTTGATGGGTTATGAAACTGACAAATCTTTCATACAATCAAGCACACAACAAATAATTATTTAAAAAATGATCCATGGCTGTCTCTGGGTAAAACATAACATTATTTTTTTATTACAGGAATAGGAGGATACAGAAATCTCTGATGATGATGAAGTTAGCCTACCTGTGACCAGTGTTGAGAGAGTATTGATGGCCAGCCTAGCTACACTCATGGACTTTGGCAAAGCGTAATGCAGGGACAGATGAGACACAAGATCAACAGCAAACACCTGCTTCTCTAGTGAGGGCTGACTCAGCAGTTCAGGAATGAAGTCCAAACAGATGTGCATCGACGGAATACCCTTGACTGTCACTGGCAGCAGCTCCCGAGGATAGCCCTGAAATGAGATTTGTGACTTGGACTAGTGTCAAGTTGATTATATGCTTGCAATAGTAATTGCTGCATAGCTATAAGCGAAGATAAACAGAATTTCACATGCCCATAGTAAAATAACTAACAAAAGATTTTCAGGGCTTACCTGAAAATGAACAAGTTTGGCAAGGGAGGGCTCGGATATGAACACCTGATGTAGATAAGAACAGATGATGCTCCTAACTTCTCTAAGGGCCCACAACTGTCCTGGAGTTTCCTGTCAACACATAAATTAGCAGATTTGATTAGTATAGTTTTAATAAAATCACAGATTTAGAGCAGTACAGACTAAAATAAAATAGGCTCATTAAAATCAATAGATAAAACAGTGATAATATCTTGCAAAGTAGACACGGTAGAAACATGCTCTGAACAGCATATTTTATTACGTTTTATTACACAAATTAAAATATTAAAATCAGATTATTTCAAACCATGTAGGCCCTAACTTTGATACGGATTAAGTTATTTAAAATTTTAATTTTATGAAATTATTGAGCGACTTGGGCATGGAAAGTCTAGACCGCCTCTAGAGATTCCGGGGACTTGAAATTACGCAGGATTGATGGTCTCTGGTTTAAACGCCCTGGAAAATAGTAAAATATTGTATTACAAAATGTTAACCTTTCTACTTATTATTTTTATGTGGAATAACATTGTAAACTATTGAATTGTGTGCACACCTAAACCTCTGTGGTACATGCAAGAGACTTAACATTTGGTAGAAATGTAGTACATGACCTTAAATAATTGTAACAATTTCCAAAGTTGACATTTAAAAGCTTTTAACCACCTGAAACATGTAAAATGCCAGACAGCTTAAAGCAAAAGAACACAAATTTTTGTAAAAGACCTAACAGGCTTTTGGTCATATCAAACATACAACACTTTCGCTTGTCAATTTCTTTTCTCTACAACTACCATGCAGCTTTTTTATTTCCGTTAGTGCCTGCTTCAGTGTTCAAAATGTAGGCTTTATCATCACAAGTTTGTGTTAGAGGATGGGTTGTGACCGAGATAAAATGCCTTACAATATGAAGACTGATCCAATGGACATTATTACAGGGTTTTATTGATTTGTTACTAACATCCAGCCCACTAGAACTTGTAGAAACTTTATGTTCTTCTGCTTTAATTAGTTCACCATTTTGAATTTTCAAGGTTAAAATTTTAATAGGTGGATTAGCTCCTGCTGTTTATTTGCAACACAAAAACTCTGGAGTGATGTGTAGTATCAAGCCAAAGCAACGTGTAAGCTACTGACTGCAGTAAACATGAAAATAGAGAAAATACTGTACAATATTAATTAAGGAAGAGTCTTCATAACCCCTCTACAAGACAACACAGGTCCTTTTATTTAGCTGCTCCCAATAGTATTTCTTGTGACTGAATTTGGAAAACAGCGTCGTCTTGTAGTTTTTCTTGGGCCAAAAATGCTAAATATTGATATTTTTACAAAGCTCTACAAACAATTTGGAAATAGTTTTAAAAACAATGTAAGATAGTAGAATATGAAAAAAATATCAATAGGATTCGGTCAATAACGTCGGTCGAAGTGGCTTGATAAATAAACCATGCACCGGCTTAAAAGTGCGGCTGCTATGTACTACTAGCCATTTGCAAAATGTCCGGCAGTTGTTTACGTCTTGTCATTGACCTCCGCACCACAGCAGCTTCTTCCTATAGCTATATATTTCAGACTGACAGGACATATAATTCCAAAATTAATTTGACTAAGGGTGAGATAATGTGAGTTCGCAAAATAAATTGTAATTATAAAAAATGTTAAGCCTATTTTGTTTTTTTAAATAGTTCTTTTAGCGAATTTCCCATATAGGGAATATTAGCGAATTTCCCATATAGGGAATAAGCTATTACCGTAGTACTCATGGTAAGACCTGGACGCGGGACCGATTTTTGTTTTGTTTCGAGGTCCCTAGAGACCAAAAACACCATCCGTTCAAATTCATATATATATATATATTTATATATTTATATATTTATATATTTATATATTTATATATTTATATATATATATATGTGTCCGTTAGCACTATAACTCGAGCAAAAATGATCCGATTTTGATGAAATTCGGTACAAACGTGTAAACCTACGTTTATTCGAACGAGTTTGCGATCCAGCATGATCGGACCATGGGAACGGGGGTTTACGGGGGGTTTTATGGGGTAAAAATAGGTTTTTTGCATTTTTGACCCAAAAAACATAAAATTTAGCAATTTCTTTCCAAACCATTTTGTAGAGCTTAAAAAAACAAATAATTTAGTATATTGAAGCGTTATTATGCGCCTAATGGTTACGGAGAAAATTCCAAAAAATTGTAAATTTAAAATTCCCATGTTATTCTTATGGAGAATAAGTAAACTGTTGTAGTTTGCTTGTTTATGAACATATTTTGATCAAATTTGAAAAATGTTTTTATTTCTTACTAACTATTAACATAAAAAAAAACAGTTTTACCTCCCTGATGCAGCAAACCTAAGTACTTGTTAAACTAATTCTATTTAAATCGGGAATAAATGTTATAAATGTTATTTTCAGTGTAAATCAAATGGAAATTCGCTTAGTCTGCAGGTTTGCTGCGGCGGGGGTATTTTATTTGTCATACAGTATTTTCTTTCTACAAACCTACTAAATAACAATTATTTATTCAATAATTATAAGTTTTCATGGTAACAATACTACTATAGCAATTCACACATGTAATAACATACCAGTAATATGGTTATATATATACAGGATGTCACAAAAATCCGTAGCGGGCAGCCCAAGAATACTATTGTACTACATTGTATTCTACTATTAAAGGTCATTTTTATTGATGTACATATGAATATATGTACATATATTCTGCATGTACATATATACCTATGCTTACATTTAAGATTTTTTTCTGACTCCTAGCGGGGGTTTCTTGTGACTCCCTGAGGTAGTGCACCAATGAATAACGTGTAAAAAAGATTTTAATGCCCAGGAACTGTGTACCAAGTTTTTAAGATAAATCTTTATCACTTTTTTAAATATATTTTATTGATCTGGGACATTTTTTCCACCCTGTATATAAAACTATAAAAGACTAGGTTCAAATGAGTGACTGTCAAAAAGAAGAAATTTTTATTTTATATAGAAAATTTATAAAAATTTTTATTTATAAAAATGTTGGCAGTCATAACAGTTTCATGACTGTCATGACCTACCTTCTACCGGCGCCGTACGTGTCCGATGTTAATTACGCGCTTTTTCGTTTTGTGTTTTGGCCAATCAGTGTTAAATGTTTCGTGTACGTGTTATTTTTTGTGAACTTTAAACCTAATGACGACCATTCTATGGAATATATGTGTTAATATTAACATGAAACAGATGTAGTCAACCAACTACAAACCAGGATCACTTGACGGATACAGGTAATTTAAACCTTTTATTGGAATAATAAAGATAAAAACCACGCAAGACTTTTTAAAAATATAGGTTTTGCTAACTTATCCAAGCTTGTAGTCCTACAACAGACTAAAATTAAGTTATTAATATATACTAAAAAAATTCAATAAGAGAATAAAAAGTTTTTTTCTTAGAAGTTTAGGTAGGTTACCAAAATAATTACAGATTTCAGGAGCTCATAGATAGGACATCTTCAGTGTTATGTTGTATGACTTTTTTGTATGTCTTAATAATTAACTCATGAACTTACATTTTTCAGGTAAGATTTTTAACTCTGTCCCTTTACAAACAAACACCATAAGACATACCCTATCCTCAGGAGACTCGAGACAAGCTTCCAGCAATATCTGCAACACACAGCTGTCCTGCGCAGCAACTAGAGCCGAGCGCAACTCCTCCCTCTCCGGCTCTGTCACTCGACACTCGACTGCGGGAGTCTCCAGCTGATGCCGAGCCAACTGGTTGCGTGACGCAGCCAAAGACGCCTGCAGAACCCGCAGCAGCACCTTCAGAACACCTGCACACCTGCCAAACAACCAAAACATTCTGATGCAACAAGTTGGCAAACATTAATTGAGTAATTTTGACTTTAATATGGGGAGTAAATTAAAAGCAGTGTTGGGAGGGAATGAGGATTATACATGTTTTAAAAAGAGACTCAAACTGGGAGGTTAATGGTAAAACAGTGTTCAAATTAATTACATTATACAGTAACAGATAACTATCAACCAACCTGAATGCTCTTGTATCCCAGCGCAATACTTGGAGAGGGTCAAGAACAGCATTTTCTTGGGTCACTGCCAAGCTCGGTAAAATTGACTTTTCATGCATAAAAGCACTAATGGTCTTCACCCACAAGCATCGGGGCAACACTGTATTCAGCTTCAACCACACTTGTCTGTACAGTTCTAAAAAGAGATAAAATCTGTAAAACATTACTTTTTCAAACATTACCTACTTGTCATTAGTATTTTTCTGTTTTTGTAGTGGTGGGAAATGCAGTGCACCAAACCCTGTCTTTCATATTCTTCCACATAAAGTATCTTTGAGGGACTGGGGTGTTTTTCAGCTAAAGAAAAATAAACGGTATCAGAAATTTGACACATACTTTCTACCATTAGCTTGTCAACATCTTTTATCATGGATAAGCGGTGGGAGTAACTATGATATTTTATAGGGAAAATCACGAAAGTTGCAATAACTTTTGATTTGAACCATAATTTTAACAGCAATGGGGATCGCACTATTTTGTTCAGAGTTATAAGGATGTAACATACTAATTTGAATCAAAACTGGCCCAAACTGCAATAATGGTAACTTTTAGTTGATGTCAGAAGTAATAATTTTGAGTTGTGTGAATTTATTAGTTATAGTATTTATTTTATATTTTTATTATGACGGTACTCCTATCCTTGTACGTTGTACTTTTATGATGTTTATGAGTGAATAAAGAATTTGAATTGAATTTGAATTGGCTTTTTTTGAAAATCCAATTTTCCGTTAATTTATAGGTTTTAGGTTTTTATGGGAAAATAACAAATAACATAATTTACAATAACTTTTGAACCCTAATTTGTACGGCAATGGAGTTAAACCATTTTGTTTAGAATTTAAAGGGCTAAATCATACAAACATTTTATCAAAATGGTTTGACCTTAAGTTTTTTTCTGCTAATTTATGGGATTTTATGGAAAAATTACCATTAAAAATCAAAATTTAAAAAAATTGAAAAAAAACACCTGGAGAGACCATGGATTAGTACCTTCATACCAAATTTCATCAAAATCAGACCACAGGTGTGGTCTGTAGCTCTGTTTGTACACATACATACATACACATATAAAGACAGACAGACACACATCACTTAAAAAACCATTTTTTTTGTGTCCAGAGAGACCCAAAACCCATACCCACACAAAACTAAGACTTGAAAATGTTGACAAATTTCTCCATATTGTGGTAGAGGGTGAGAAAGTGAAAATTAATGAAGCAATGAAAAATTCTATCTAGCTAATTTAGGTTTAAACTCTTCTAAACACATTAAATTACTACCATATCAAAGGTAAATAAAGATCTGACAAGAAAAAATCAAAAGTAAAATTTGATTATAACTAGAGGAGTGCCAGCCTGTTATTATAAATTTTCAGTCAAATCAAACTCAAGGTAATATCATGATCATCTCTCACTTTCTTGGCGACATCATTGTCTTCTTCTGGGATCACACAAAATCCTGAATATCTTCCTCAATCACGGAAACAAAAATTTTTCCCTAGGACGCTAGGCACAAGACCGGGATTTTTTTTCATATTACTTCAGGCTAGAACCAGGGGTTGTGGCTTTATCACATGGATAAAATTCATTGGTGATTTAGCAGGACTAGTGAACCTGTGCGGCTCAATGCCCCGCAAAATAACATGGTATGAATTTAGAAAACAAATTCATCGTATTATATATTGACTCGACGTCGAAAATTAAATACAGTAATAATGAAGCCTAGGAAGGGAAGCAGTCCAGCCATTTTCTAGTTGTATGTGTATTATATTTAGTAAATTAATAACTGTTCAAGTTCAAGTATGTTTAGGCAGCGAGCAAGTTTATAGGGTAGTTATTTTTTAAAGATTTTTAAAACACATTTAACAAAACATTTTATCATATCAAACCAATAGGCCTATGTAGCATATTTTGAGGGTCATAAAAATGCTGCTTGAAGAAAACACACTTTTAAAAATAAACTCTAAAAAAACAATATTTTTATCACAAAAGCACTTCCACGAATACTACGATTTTAGCCTTAAAGTTACCTTCAGGAAGATTACCCTGGTCAGAGTTTTCCGTAACGAATATGCGTATCCTATTAAAAGATGTAACCTTACTTAAAACAACATATACTATAGTTGCTCATGACTGAAATTGGTCGGGGTAAGAACAGCGCTGCAAATGCCAAAGGTAACAGAAATTAGCATCTTTCCATTTTGAAAGGTAAGTTGGTTTCAGACGGGTAAACGTTTATCCTCGAAATCAAAATATGTCCCCACTCACTTGTTCCAGTTAAGACTTTACATTCTATTAAGTTGTTAACCATTCAGATCACATGAAGCCATGTGCCATTAATAAGGTCTTTTTTGATATATTAATATTCTTCATCAATAAAACCACTGCCCCCTTTTATTAGTATAATCTGTGTCTTGGCAATCCACTGACCTCTATATTTAAAAACTCAGTTGGATTTTCTAGATGGGTGTCTCCGCCTTCGTCTGTTTTCAAGGACCCACTCTTCTTCCCCTTGGTATACTGACAATTAATTACCTGACTTGTCAAGTTCATGTAGTAATTCAATAATACTGTTAATTTATAAAGAAAATTAGATAAAAGTTACTTGGCTTGGTGCTTTCATAACTGCAAACTCAAAATACACCCACAAGTAAAAAAGAATCAAGTTATTGGTAAAAAAAAAACTATGTTTGTGTAATAACATTATTCACATGAAGTAGATTTTTTTTTTTATTTTTTTACAGCATCATTTATTTCTGATTCAATGTAGACATTATACACAGAAGTGTTAACAAAATTAATAAGAAATTAACTATAATAACATCGTGGGTTCGCCCAAACCTGAGACACCCTGTAACATAATTAATTTAGGGAAATAATTTAATCTTCTTTAGGCTTCATTCCTCCAATAGATCTTGAGGGAGCCTTCGACGTAGTCTCCTGTTCTCAGTTGCTTCACCAAGATGAAAAGTTAATGCACCAGGAACATTGTTTAAAGATTTTAGAAATTTTGAGGTGGTTTTTTCAATAAAGGCCGAGATAGACTCCACTCCTAGTTCTTCATGTATATGCCTGTTTCTAACAAACCAGGGAGCATTCACTGCTATTCTTAGAATTTTGTTTTGAATCACTTGAATTTTGAAGAGTTTGTTTTTTGATATAGCTAATCCCCAGATAGGAGATGCATATGTAATCAAGGGCCGAATTATTGATTTATAGATTAGAACTGTACAAGCTGGCTTCAGAGTAGATTTCCTATTGATTAAAGGGAAAAGCTTTGCAAGGCGTGCATAACCTTGGGACAGTTTTTGATTAACGTGGTAGTTCCAATTAAGTTTTTTGTCCACATGAAGTAGATGATTTGTTTGATTTGTCGATCAGCTGTTTAGTTTCAAATGAATTAATGATGTCAAAGATTTGTGATTTAAATACATAAATTATTATAGTAAAGTTTTCTAAATCATGGTAACTTGTTCTCCACTAAATTTTACTATTCCCAGCATTAAAATAAAGTAGTACGATCCATTATGGGTAAACTTTAAGGTACACAATCCTTGATTGAAATGTAGTAGGTATACATTAAGAGTCATAATACACAGCAATTATTATGTAGTAGACTTTGACTATTTTCAAGTAACAAACATATGTTTCTGTAAATAAAAAAAAAATCTCCCATGTTATCCTTATGGAGAAATATAAAGCTTTAAAGGGCTCCAGGGCCTCAATCTCTCAATCTTTCCCTAAAAAGAAAGTTTCCTGCACAACTTCACGTTACCCTCTTTCCAATGGCACCAAAAACATGTCAATCGATTCAGTAGTTTCAGAGGAGTAATTGTCACAAAAAACCTGCTTGCGTATAAAATAAGTATATAGATTTGAACTCCGGACCTCAGGGACCAAAGTCCCACGCTCTACCACTAAACCAGCTCGCTCCCCCTGGAAACAACATTAGGTCTACTATGTCTTTTGTGGTCGTGGCAAAATCCTGAATATTGCTCTGCGGTAACAGAAACACTATCATTGATTCCCATGGTTACGGAAATGTGATCAAAAACCCCCACTGTCGTTGGAAAATCACAAACAACTCCCACAGTTATGTGGACATAATCATTGGGTTCTGCAATCACAGCAAAATTCTTACTATCTCCTGCAACCATGTAGACATCATCATCGACTCCTGTGGTCTCGGAAACGTCATCGATGTCTTACGTAATCGCGACAAATGTGGTAATCTTCGAATTGAGCGATCTTCGCAGACGTGTTGGGTTATCAGTATTTGAATCAACTTTTTAAGATAGATTCTCAATACCGATATTAATGTACAAGTATCAATGGTATCAAGAATCGGTATAGAAAATAACACAACCCTGAGCCTTCCCACTATTTGTCAAAGAAAATAAAATAATCTTGGTAAGTTAGGCTGAAATACATTCAGCCGTTATTGCATGTATTGAAGTCGATCCCAAAGTTCTTTGGGGGCCATACACATATTACGTAACGCACTTTAGGGGGGAAGGGAAGGGGTATGGCATAGTGTTAGACTGTTTGGCTCCACGTTATATAACGGACACATTCCTCTTAAAAAATACAAAAATAATCAAATAGATATCCAAATTGGTTAGTTATATAAAAAGATACGTCCACGTGCGTCATGCGACTTTAGTAACAGTAAACCTAAACATAAATACGGAATGTGTCAGAGTAAATTTCTGCTTTGCTTTACAGCTTTGTTTTTAGTAATTATTAGTAACAATCTTGTATGTTTGTATACCACACAACAGGTTATCCAACTATTCAACTATTGGTTTGTATTAATATTTAATTATGCTTTGATAATAAAAGGTTACCAAACAAAAATCATTACAAGATTAATGATTTATTTAAATCCATATTCCACTAGTAAAATTCTGCATAAGCTGTTATTAATGTCTATTACACAAATGTACCTACATTATTAACATGGCAACAACCATAATACCATAGATAAAACATACTCCCCCAAGTAGATTTCTCATCCTTATGCAACAGCTGAAGACAATTTTATTGTTAGTTCTGTACGGTTTATGTAGAGGTCGTGTTTTGTTTACAATTTGTTTCCAGTTATTACAGTCATTTAAAACCTCATTAACCAAATAATACAATCTAATCATAAACAATAACTTGTCTCCTGGTTATATAACCAAACAGTAAAGTACAAATCAAGAAATTAACCCTAAAGTAATAGAAACAAAATTTTGTCGACACTAGCGGCCAGTGTCACCGTACATGAACTAGACACGAAAAACGTGCTTCAAAATTTACAATGGGATGACAAGTCTACTTGTGTTGGTTAGTCTATGATAATACCTTTAAACACCATTAAGTAGGGGTGTGCAATGCATCGAAAATGCATCGAAATTCCGATTCAATTTGAAGCATCAAATCACGATTCGATTCAGTGGTGATCAAAAAACAATTCGATTCATGAGGGAGTCAGTATCCTTATACGAAAAACACCTGCAGAAAGTCAACGCAATACCCGCAATACAGGAACGCGTTCTTATTTAATTAATTCTTTGCTTGTAAATATTGCTTTAATTGTCTTATAATTTTTTGTTTATAAATTGCAAATGATGAGAAATTTTGTTAAGTGTAAGCAGTATGAGACATGTTTTACTACTGTAATAGCCAAAACAAGTCATTCTAAAATCATTCTAAAAATAACACAAACCTGAAAATTGTTACTTGATACTTAACTATTATAGTTCGACCGCATAGATAGCGACCTCCTCTAGCATTGGTTAGCATTAGCGCGCAGGTCCCTATCTAAGCGGCCGAACTATAGTAATTGATGTTTTAAATCCCCCATAAAGAAAGAAACCCTTATCTACATTAATATGATCTTAGACAAAAGTTTAAACTATTAAAAAAATTTAAAAATCGAAAACCTCCCTCTCTTAGAACACCCTAGAAATTTGCTCTCGGTTTCAGTACTAACATCAACACAATTCACATTTTAATTGATAAACTACTAACCAATCTCAAATTTAATTACATACATAGTATGTATATAATTACGTAGTTAGTATGTAACTAATATATGTAAGCGTTATGTGCTTTGGATGTTTGCTGGCAATGTATTTTGAGGCCACAGATCAAACGGAGAGCTTAGTGAAGACAATCATGATATTATGAACATTAAAATTATAAGCATGTTGTTTTCAAAAGTATATTGTCATAAGCTGTCAAAAGAAAAAACCTTAAAAAGTAATGTTTCAAACCTCGGCGATCAGCAGAAACTAAAAACTTATTTTGTCTAGCGAAATAATGAAAATCTATCTAATGATTTTTATCTAGCAAATGATTGTTATTTGTAAAAGTTGTTTTGTTAGTTAGATTTAATTAAAGATTTATCAGAACTACTAACAAAAGTTAAGTTTGATTTCCTTTGATTATTCTACACTGTGACTAGCTGAAAAGGTAATGCAATACCGGTACTGTAGTTTTTCTTAATATTGTAAGAGTGAACAATTAATGTTTTAAAATTATTATTTAACGTCAACTGTTGTACTATATAACCCAACTGACTGAATAAAATAATCCATAATACCATCAAAACTGTGTTATAAATCCAAGACTACCGGTACAAGAAAGTTTAATTTTAAATATGTGTTCCGGGTCTCTATATTATAGTTAAGAGGATGTACCTATGAGAAAAAATTGCATACAATACCATACACGAAAAGAGAAATTCATTTAACATTTTGGTGACAGTAAGGAAGTAAAAAAGTGCGATATGTCGGCGGTCACAATGCTACTTCAATGCTATGGGCCACTCTGGCACCCCACTTATAGTGGGGGAGCGGTGCGGTGGCGGACCGTTTTCGTTTACCAGCCGAGCGCGATACAGTTAGGATTATATACATCGATGGGTGGGGGTGGGATTTGCTCAAGCGTTACATGGGAGAGGGAGGGGTTTAAAATGAAAAAAAAGTGTGTTACTGGTACGTTATAATATGTGTATGACCATTTGAATGCGCTCTGCTCTAGTATAGATAAATAATATGAATAAATAGAAGGAAACTTAAATTTACCTTGAATGTAGCGAGGTACATTTGGCTCCAGAGTGTTGCGGAAGTGTTTGATGATGACATCCACGTGAGGCCATAACTGAGTTGCTGAAACTTCCAGTAGCTGTTTCAACAACTTGCCAGTGTGTGAAGGACAAGTGGACATTGCGCTCAAACCTAGAATACCAAAAACAGACCATTAGATACTTGTTAAACTCATGAGTGCTACTTTATTAGTTTTGTTGTATACCAAGGTATTTCAATCTAAAAAAGAATCCCAAGTTAAAAGCCTACTATCTTTTTATGAAGAAAGACAGCTCTTTGTAGTGGTAGTTTAAGTGGCCTCAATCAAGTTATTACTCGAGGCAGATAGTCAGTCGTTGTTAGGAAGCTGTGGGTTTTATTAGATCTTATCATACTTATCAACCTGGCTGACAACCTTCACTGATCACATAAAATAAATAACCCGTATTTGTGATACTTCCGCCTGACCAACAATCTAACGATTTAAAACTAACGAATATATTATCTATTCGTCAGCTATAAATCTAACTGAGTGGAAGTTATTTTCAGCACTTTTAAAAAACTAACGAATAAAATAGAAGTTAGCCGAAAAAACTAACGAATATTGATATTCTTTAGAATTTCTATTCGTTATCCCAAGTATGCCCATCACGAATAAATACCTTCCACAATTGCAGTGCTTGAGATTGGGACAGTTTTTTCCTGTGAGCTGAGTATTTCATCCTCTTCTATCCAGTCATCAACCAAGGACAAATGAGGGAAATGAGTTGCTAAGAGTCTCAGTAATGGGGAAAACAACCCTGAAACAAAGGAAGATGGTCATTATCAGTTCTTATTACATAAATTAAAAATTTACAAAAAAAATCACAAAGACAAATAGAAAAGACGGATTGGAGAGTTGGGGCAGACAAACTAAAGAACAATTAACATAAGACTTTGTTTTAGCGAATTTCCCATATAGGGAATAAGCTATTACCGTAGTACTCATGGTAAGACCTGGACGCGGGACCGATTTTTTTTTTGTTTCGAGGTCCCTAGAGACCAAAAACACCATCCGTTCAAATTCATATATATATATATATATATTTATATATTTATATATTTATATATTTATATATTTATATATTTATATATTTATATATATATATATATATATATATGTGTCCGTTAGCACTATAACTCGAGCAAAAATGATCCGATTTTGATGAAATTCGGTACAAACGTGTAAACCTACGTTTATTCGAACGAGTTCGCGATCCAGCATGATCGGACCATGGAAACGGGGGTTTACGGGGGGTTTTATGGGGTAAAAATAGGTTTTTCGCATTTTTGACCCAAAAAACATAAAATTTAGCAATTTCTTTCCAAACCATTTTGCAGAGCTTAAAAAAACAAATAATTTAGTATATTGAAGCGTTATTATGCGCCTAATGGTTACGGAGAAAATTCCAAAAAATTGTAAATTTAAAATTCCCATGTTATTCTTATGGAGAATAAGTAAACTGTTGTAGTTTGCTTGTTTATGAACATATTTTGATCAAATTTGAAAAATGTTTTTATTTCTTACTAACTATTAACATAAAAAAAAAACAGTTTTACCTCCCTGATGCAGCAAACCTAAGTACTTGTTAAACTAATTCTATTTAAATCGGGAATAAATGTTATATTTTTAAGTAGACATTTCAGTGTAAATCAAATGGAAATTCGCTTAGTCTGCAGGTTTGCTGCGGCGGGGGTATTTTTTTTTTAGGTTTGTACATGCCTTGTATAGTATCTCAACCAGTTTTATCCTATACCTATACTATAATAAAAACTATGTATGTTTGTCTGCCTGTAACACACTTGAATCAGACTTATCTGTCTTCAGCTAATCCATCATATGATAGTATTTTAGAGAGTATCCTCATGCTGAAGTTTTACTTATACTTAAAGAACTATTTAATTTAGTACCAATAAATAAATCACACCCCTTACATACACAACTATGCTGTATTAATGCTATTGTAGCTGATTGCTACTTATTAACCTTTGATCGCATATCAATTCCTACTATAGGAACTGATATAAAAAAATAATTCTTTCTTTTTTAAACATTTGTTTTATTTATTTACAACGTAATAAATGTGTAAGATTAAAATAAATTAGGTAATGTGTTGGATTGCCAAGTTAAAATTTCCATCATAGTAAATTGAAATTCCACTGAAACTTAAATAATAAAAGCCGAAATTAGTTATAAAGAAAACGTGAGTTTCCTTTAACAATAGAAATAAACATACAGAGCCATGGCTCAGTCCGCCTGTACTAACTATTTAAATGTTCTATATTCAATAAATCAAAATATCTATTACAGTATATAGAGAGTATATAGGAAGCAAGATTCGAGTTTGGGTTATAAAACGCAGTAGCCTAAATACTGAATGTTTTCTAATAAATAAGACAATGACATGTACTAAATTAATTTATTTGATCTTAAATGAAATTTCTTTTGTAACTGTAACTACAACATTGTCCCTAAATAGTGTATAATGAAGTCATCAAGAACAGTTACTCACTTTTACATCAATCCATTATATCTTGTTAAATAAATAATTTCAAATGTATCAATCTTTTTCAATTATCAACTCAAACAAATACACGTGCACCACACAGGGACACGACACCTTGCCTACACAGGTTTTTGATTACCATAAATTACTGCTCAGATAAGAATAAACAGGCCAATCAAACAATGTATCAAAACTAGTGCACCTGTTGCTCGAACTCGAGCAATTGCAAAGTATTACAGGTGTTATTTCAAAACGGAACAACCCTAAAAGCCATATAATATCCGATATAAAAGAGTTAACTCAAAGATAATGTAATCAATCACTCCACTCCAGTTATCGAAACTGAAAACGAACTCACTCTGAAAACGAACGTTCTTGAGTGTACATGTATTTACTATGAACAGCCGTAATTAATACAAATTATTCATCTGTTTAAGTAAACAAAATCTTTTCTTCATAAGAAATACATTGGGATTTTGATGGCCTGTGGGGCAAAGCCCGAGGACTTTTATTACAGGAATTGGTGAAAGGGGGCATCTGCACAAAAAATACTTTATTTTGACACGTTGTTTATAAAAATCCGTTCATTATTAACGGAGGAGTAGTGTTTTGTAGAAATCGCCTTTTTTTGATTACCATAAATTACTGCTCAGATAAGAATAAACAGGCCAATCAAACAATGTATCAAAATGGTAACCGAAATATGATAACACGAGATGTGTGTTAATAACTTAATAAATTTTAATAAGTTATTTCAAATCATTTTTAACAAATTTCCCATATAGGGAATAAGCTATTACCATAGGTCTCATGGTAAGACCTGAACCCGGGACCAATTAACTTTTTTGTTTTGATGTCCCTGGAGGCCGAAAACACCGTCCGTTCAAATTAATTTATATGTGTTTATTTATGTGCGTTGTGATTTTTGTGAAATTTCGTACAAACGTGAAAAGACATAAGACATATTTTATTTACACAAAACGTTCTTTATAAAGTACATTTCATACATAAGAACAGGTGTTCGTCATAGTGATGTATTTTATAGTAAAATTAATAGTTATAATAATTAAAATAAACTCATGTAGGATATCAGAGAATTTTTATCTACACTATAGGGTTCTCCAAAAATTCGTCAAGTGAATAGTAGGCTTTCTCAATTATTTTATCTTTTATTTGGGGTAATTCATTGTACAATCTAAGTCCCATATATTGAGGTCTGTTCCTAAAAGTTGTCAATTTGTGATGTGGTAATCTGAAATTATATTTATTCCTTGTATTATAATTATGTGTAAATTTGACATCTGACAAATTTTCCTTAGTGTTATGTATCCAATTTAGAATTTCATTTATGTATAATCCAAAAATGGTGTGAATTCTAAGATTTTTAAACAGGTTTTTACATGATTTTCTCCTTCTTGATTTGGTTAAGATTCTAATATTTTTTTTTCTGTAAAATTAGTAGGGATTTGACTTCTGTTGACACTCCCCACAGTATGATTCCATACCTCAAGATGGATTCAACGTATCCATAGTAAACTGTGATACAGTATCCTGGGGTACACAGTTTATTAGGTGAAAGAAAGCAAAAGAAATAGATCTTAGTTTGCCTTTCATCTTATCTATGTGAATCTTCCAATTAATACGAGTATCAAGCAATACACCCAAAAATCTATGAGATTCTACTAAATTTGGAATTTTATCAAGAATTACATTGTTTTTTAAAGAAAATTTGATTATATGAGTTTTGTCAATATTCAGCTTTAAACCATTATCTGAAAACCAATTTTTCATACAATCCAAAGTGTTTTCATTGATACAATTAAGTTATTTACTGAATCCTCTTTCTCTTATGATTGCTGTTGTATCATCAGCAAATAAGATTAAATCTCTGCCAATAGCTTTTGGAAGGCATTAATAAAGATCAGGAAAACCACCACCAACAATCCAGCATCTAAAATTACAGTTTTCCACCAAAACATACAGTGTTTATCCAGCAGAATAGATTCATTAAAAATTACTATTGATGATTTAAAACCAGATATTATAATCTTGACAGAACACAAATTGACAATAGATGAGATAAATAGTTTTGTACTTAGTGGCTATAAAACAGTTAGTTATTATGTTAGGAATAATAACCAAGGAGGTGGGGTTATGATAATGGTCTCAAATGTGATTAAATGCAAAAAAATTACCAGTAAATGTATAGACAAATTAAATATTGATAAAGTTTTTGAATCCTGTTCAATAAAAGTAAAAACAAATAATTTAAAATTTATTTTAGCTGGTATTTACAGAACCCCATCTAGGAATATTGATAGTTTTTTAGAACATTTAAATAAACTTTTACATTGCTTAGGAGATATTAATAATAATATCTGCGTTGGTGGTGATTTTAATATAGATATTTTGTCTGAAGATAACAGAAAAATAGATTTTGTTGATTTATTAAAGTTGCACAACATGTACTATACAGTAAACATACCAACTAGAGTTACAGATACAAGTGAAACAGCAATAGATAACTTTATTACTAACATTGACAAAGCCTATATTAAAGTGCTGTGTTTAGTAACTGCACTCTCAGATCATGATGGGCAATTGCTCACAATAAATACTATGAGTAAAGAAAAATCCAATAACCCTAAAATATTATTGGAATCAAAAAGGATTTTTAGCAAAAATAACATTAATGGTTTTATAAAAGATTTAGAATTTGAGAACTGGACACAACTTTACCAAACCCCTATTGATAAAAAATTTACATTTTTTTACAATATTCTAAGGTTTTACTTTGATAAGAATTTTCCTGTGACTAATGTTCGTACAAAACACGGATTTAAGAATTGGATAGATAGAGAGATCAAAGAAGAAAGGCAAAACTTATTAAATGCTTGTAAAAACAAAAGGAAAAATAAAAATATGACAGTTAAATTGAACATAAAGCAGCAAAAAAGAAGGTTAAAAAAACTCATAATTGAAAAGAAGAAACAATACTTTCACAATAAAATCACTTTATCTGAAAATGTAGCAAAAACTACTTGGAATTTAATTAATACTGAACTTGGAAGAAATTCTGCTAATTTACCATCCCAGATTATTTAAAAATATAATGGAAATTCTGTTACTGACCCTGTGGAAGTTGTCAACATAATGAATAATTATTATGCTGACTTAGTTGACAGCACAATAATTCCAAGTTTGAATAATAAAGATTCCTTTGGGGATAGCCCCAAGCAGTCCAATGATGTTATTGCTGATAAGTCTAGATTTAAGTTTAATACTATATCTGAGGAACAGTTAGATAAAATAATTAATTAAGTAAAGAACAAGTGGTCATCTGGATATGATGACATCCCAACAAAAGTCATTAAGGCTTCAAAAAGAGCAATTCTTAAGCCTCTACTGCATGTTATAAATGCTTCTATGATATCTGGAGTATTTCCCACAGAATTAAAAGTATCAAAAATTATTCCAATATTTAAAAAGGGTGACAAGAAGGATTCTGCCAACTACAGACCTATTTCAATCCTACCATCATTATCAAAGATTTTTGAAAAGTGTATATTGATGCAACTAACTGATTATTTTGAAAAAAATAGCTTATTAGATTCGGAACAGCATGGTTTTAGACAAAATAAATCAACTATTACTGCAGTCATAGCTTTTGTTGAACATATTGTGGATAAATTAGACAAAGGTGACCATACTGTTTCTGCATTTCTAGATCTGACTAAAGCGTTTGACAGTGTATCCCATTCTATTTTACTAGAAAAACTAACTTCTAATGGTATAATTGGCAAAGATTTAGTTTTATTAAAATCATACCTAATAGGTCGAAGGCAATATGTGGAAACTAAACACCTCAATGGCAATAGATTATTTAAAATAAAGTAAAAAACTAGATTAATTAAATATTCCGTTCCCCAGGGATCAGTCCTGGGACCATTCCTATTCCTTGTGTATTTAGGAAAGTTACCAGAATGTCTTTCAAACCTAACATTAAATAATAAATTTTGTATTTTTGCAGATGATATTAATCTAACGATAGCTAGTAGCAATAGAAGTAATGTTTTTGATCAATTATCCCTAGCAACAAACAAAGTTAACGAAAGACTAAGTAACTTGAACCTTTTAACTAATAAAAATAAAACAACAATAATTAAATTCTCTTGTAAAAATGGTAATTCAAGGAATGATACAGAACCAACAGACTGTCTTAATACTGTTGACCTTGCTGAAAAGTCAAAGTTCCTTGGTATTTTACTGGATAGAAAACTGTCTTGGTCAGATCATGTAAATGAGGTCTGTTCAAAAGTTAGTTCAGGAGTCTTTGCTCTGAAGAGATTGTCCTCTTTTTGTGACATCAAAACATTGCAATCAATGTATTTTTCAATGGTCCATACCCATATTGGGTATGGTCTTGAAGTATATGGAGCAACATCAAATTTTAACCTCAAAAAAATTTTACATCTTCAAAAAGATGCAATAAGATCAATGCTTAAATTGGATTTTGATGCACACTGTAAAAAACATTTTATTGGATTGGGTATCATGACAGTTTATAGCCTTTATATTTACAAGACTGTTCTTCATGTTAAACGTAATATTTCAACATTTACTAGAAACGTCGATAATCATAATTACAACACAAGAAACCGATATAATTTCCAAATTAATAAGCATAAAAAAGAAATATTTAAACAAAAACCATTATACATTGGAATACAATTTTTTAATCAATTACCAATAAAAACAAAAAATGAAACAGATGACAACAGATTTAAAAACGCTCTAAAATTACCGGAAAAATTCCTGTCCCCCTTGGAAATAACTTATGACGGCAAACAAAAAAGGGGGCCTGGGGCCAAAGGCGAGTTTATGTATATATTATGAATATGATTAAACTTGGCAAATTTATTTATTTAATACTAAGCTGTTATTATATTACTAAAAAACACACTTCACCCACCATGTAGCAGCAAACCTAAGTACTTATCAAAATCAAGTCAGGCAAATGGAAATTCTCTTAAAGTCAGCAGGTTTGCTGCGGTGGGGGTATAAGAAATTATTATATTACCAAGCATAAATTATAAAAAGTCTTTTACCTGCAAAACTCTGCTGATTGCGTTGGGCCTGCTGCAGGAGATACTTGATTGGCAGTTCTGAGAGGAATTCAGCAGAATAGCTCTTGACTTTTTCTCTGCCAATCGCCATCCATTGGCCCATCCTGACATCTTCGTAGTGTAGCAGGTAATAGAGCAATAACAACTGAGCTGTCAGTGAGGCACACTTGCCTTGTCTCTCAGACTGTCAACAATGTCATATAGTGTAGCAGGTAATAGAGCAATAACAAATGAGCTGTCAGTGAGGCACACTTGCCTTGTCTCTCAGACTGTTAAAAATGTCGCATAGTGTAGCAGGTAATAGAGCAATAACAACTGAGCTGTCAGTGAGGCACACTTGCCTTGTCTCTCAGACTGTCTACAATGTCACATAGAGTAGCAGGTAATAGAGCAATAACTGAGCTGTCAGTGGGTCAACAATGTTACATAGTGTAGCAGGTAATACAGCAATAACAAATGAGCTGTCAGTGAGGCACACTTGCCTTGTCACTTAGACTGTCAACAATGTTACATAGTGTAGCAGGTAATAGAGCAATAACAACTGAGCTGTCAGTGAGGCACACTTGCCTTGTCTCTCAGACTGTCTACAATGTCACATAGAGTAGCAGGTAATAGAGCAATAACTGAGCTGTCAGTGGGTCAACAATGTTACATAGTGTAGCAGGTAATACAGCAATAACAAATGAGCTGTCAGTGAGGCACACTTGCCTTGTCACTTAGACTGTCAACAATGTTACATAGTGTAGCAGGTAATAGAGCAATAACAACTGAGCTGTCAGTGAGGCACACTTGCCTTGTCTCTCAGACTGTCAACAATGTCACATAGTGTAGCAGGTAATAGAGCAATAACAAATGAGCTGTCAGTGAGGCACACTTGCCTTGTCACTTAGACTGTCAACAATGTTACATAGTGTAGCAGGTAATAGAGCAATAACAACTGAGCTGTCAGTGAGGCACACTTGCCTTGTATCCCAGACTGTAAACAATGTCACATAGTGTGGCAGGTAATAAGAGCAATAATAACTGAGCTGTCAGTGAGGCACACTTGCCTTGTCACTTAGACTGTCAACAATGTTACATAGTGTAGCAGGTAATAGAGCAATAACAACTGAGCTGTCAGTGAGGCACACTTGCCTTGTCTCTCAGACTGTCAACAATGTCACATAGTGTAGCAAGTAATAGAGCAATAATAACTGAGCTGTCAGTGAGGCACACTTGCCTTGTCTCTCAGACTGTCAACAATGTCACATAGTGTAGCAAGTAATAGAGCAATAACAACTGAGCTGTCAGTGAGGCACACTTGCCTTGTATTCCAGACTGTAAACAATGTCACATAGTGTAGCAAGTAATAGAGCAATAACAACTGAGCTGTCAGTGAGGCATACTTGCCTTGTCTCTCAGACTGTCTACAATGTCACATAGTGTAGCAGGTAATAGAGCAATAACAACTGAGCTGCCATTGAGGCACACTTGCCTTGTCTCTCAGACTGTCTACAATGTCACATAGTGTAGCAGGTAATACAGCACTAACAACTGAGCTGTCAGTGAGGCACACTTGCCTTGTCTCTCAGACTGTCTACAATGTCACATAGTGTAGCAGGTAATACAGCACTAACAACTGAGCTGTCAGTGAGGCACACTTGCCTTGTCTCTCAGACTGTCTACAATGTCACATAGTGTAGCAGGTAATAGAGCAATAACAACTGAGCTGTCAGTGAGGCATACTTGCCTTGTCTCTCAGACTGTCTACAATGTCACATAGTGTAGCAGGTAATACAGCACTAACAACTGAGCTGTCAGTGAGGCACACTTGCCTTGTCTCTCAGACTGTCTACAATGTCACATAGTGTAGCAGGTAATAGAGCAATAACAACTGAGCTGTCAGTGAGGCACACTTGCCTTGTCACTCAGACTGTCAACAATGTATCATAGTGTAGCAGGTAATAGAGCAATAACTGAGCTGTTAGTGAGGCACACTTGCCTTGTCACTCAGACTGTCAACAATGTCACATAGTGTAGCAGGTAATACTGAGCTGTCAGTGAGACACACTTGCCTTGTCAGACTGTCATTAATGTTACTTAGTGTAGCAGGTAATACAGCAATAACAACTGACCTGTCAGTGAGACACACTTGCCTTGTCTCTCAGACTGTCAACCAATGTTATATAGTGTAGCAGGTAATACAGCAATAACAACTGAGCTGTCAGTGAGACGCACTTGACTTGTCACTCAGACTGTCATTAATGTTACATAGTGTAGCAGGTAACAGAGCAATAACAACTGAGCTGTCAGTGAGGCACACTTGCCTTGTCACTCAGACTGTCATTAATGTTACTTAGTGTAGCAGGTAATAGAGCAATAACAACTGACCTGTCAGTGAGACACACTTGCCTTGTCTCTCAGACTGTCAACCAATGTTATATAGTGTAGCAGGTAATAGAGCAATAACAACTGAGCTGTCAGTGAGACACACTTGCCTTGTCTCTCAGACTGTCAACCAATGTTATGTAGTGTAGCAGGTAATACAGCACTAACAACTGAGCTGTCAGTAATGCACACTTGCCTTGTCTCTCAGACTGTCATTAATGTCACATAGTGTAGCAGGTAATACAGCAATAACAACTGAGCTGTCAGTGAGGCACACTTGCCTTGTCTCCCAGACTGTCAACAATGTTACATAGTGTAGCAGGTAATAGAGCAATAACAACTGAGCTGTCAGTGAGACACACTTGCCTTGTCTCTCAGACTGTCATTAATGTCACATAGTGTAGCAGGTAATACAGCAATAACAACTGAGCTGTCAGTGAGGCACACTTGCCTTGTCTCCCAGACTGTCAACAATGTTACATAGTGTAGCAGGTAATACAGCAATAACAACTGAGCTGTCAGTGAGGCACTCTTGCCTTGTCACTTAGACTGTCAACAATGGCACATGGATCAACTTGTTACAAACAAAGCTCAAAGATGTAACTCTAAGCGTTAAGGCCTAGGTTTTTAAATTTTTTTTGCCAAACAAAGTTTTTCTCTACTGACACCTCCCTTAGTTGAATACATACTTTCAGTGTAATGTTGTATTTTGTTGTAGTGGTTGGTAAGATTTGTGTTTCTTTTCAAATATTAATGTATAAGCTACTTTTGAATAATCACAGTGACACCAGCATTCCTACATTCTGGTGCAGAAACTATCAGATTCAAACACAACGTGTTTATTAGCTCAGTGAGACTTCTGGGTTGGGTCGTCATTGTGTAGCAAAATTAATTTTCATTCTTCCCTGTATAGTAAGGAATACCTGTACTGTTAAGCAACCATAATTTCATATAAAAATTAAAATCAATGTCTTCAGGAAGAAATAGTAGAAAATACTTGACTTGTATTACTTGATTATACCATAGACAAAAAGAATCAAATATAGACCGTCAGCTGTGCTGCGGTTACCATCTAGGTTCTGGCACACACCACTGGGAGCGTCATGTAGTTACGGCCTACGCGCTACGTAACTACATGGCGCTCCCAACGGTGTGCGCCAGAACCTATGGTAACCATGTTAACCACAGCACAGCTGACAGTCTACATTTAATTCTTTTTGTCTATGATTATACTCAACCCTATTGCCTTGTTTTATAGGAGTTATTGATGTATCCATGATCTTGTTTGGAGGTTAATGGCAAATTGTTGATACATTTTTTTTATGTTTTATAGTTTTATGGTTTATCAGGTAAGAGTTATAGTATCCTGTAGAACATTTAGAACAACTACATTGCTAACGTGTTAAAAATGAAGTAAAATATAAGATTTACCACAAATAACTAAAGCCAATTAGAGTTTATGTCAATTTTTACTGAGTTGATGTTTTGATAGCCAAGTGGTTAGCATTTTAGACATTTTGGATTTCCAGCTAATCTACAAACTTTTGACAAGGTTTGGAAAGGGTATTCTATGACAAGTAGTATGGAAAGTTCTTGCATTCAAAACGCCACAGACATACCCCATACGTTAGAGTGTCCCTGAAGACTCTGCGTATCTCCTCTGTAGTGATGGGTTGGTTGGTGTTCTCAGGAGTCTGTGGTGTCTTAGAGGTGGATACCAAGATGGAGTTCACATAAACCTCCACCAGAGCTGGCAGCACCGGGTGTAGAGGAGGCTCACTTGAGCAGATTTGTCTGCGCACAATAGAAAAAGTAAAGTTATATAAGACAAACCAAGACAGTGTGGAGAGCAAAAAAATTGAAAACATTTCAGTTTACAGTTGAAAATATAAAATCTGATTGATATAATTTAAAATCAGCTAAAATTTAACCTAAACTTATGTTTTTTTACTCTCAATTTTAACGAAAACACTGTTTTTACTCTGTTTCACATTTACCTTACAGTACTTGCATATTGCCTAGTTAACTATCAGTATTCCACAAGTAGATTTTTGAGGATTGCCAGACAGGAAGACTCCTGAATGGTGAAAATGAAACTGATTATGGTGACCGGTACAAGCCTAACCTGTATATCCAGTCTTTGATGGGAACCTTGTGCTTAGTGAAGGCTCTGCTCTTGAGAAGTTGATGGATGCAGTGGACAGGCAAGAACCCTTGAATGTTGGCATTTAGGTTGACGGTGACAGGAACCTTGACTGCATGTGAAGTCACTACCTGGAATGTGGCATAACTCATGTCATTCCATTGGACAAAATTTCAAATGAAAACAAATCAACTAGTTTAAGTTTTAATTTTGATACATTTTCCATCCAGCAGATGTATAAACATTCGGCTACAAGCATAATAAAAATACACCAACTGTAGCAAACCTACAGATTATGCTAATTTCAATTTGTCTAGTTTGATTTTAACTGAAGTATTCCCATTACAAATTTATACTTACTACCCATTCAATTAACTTTAGATTTAACTAGTGCTTAGGTTTGCTGCTACGGGGAAGGAAAAGAGTGTTTTTTTTATATAAAATGTTTGGTATATAATGAATTAAATGAAAATTTGCCAAATTTTATCAATATATATCCATAAAACAAGCAAACTACTTCTGTTTTTTCCTCCTTGAATAACATGGTGATTTTAAATGTACAGTTAAAACAATTTTCTTAATTTTTTACATATATATACATGCATAAGTATAGCAGTATCTATGTAAAATATATACACGTATGAAAAAAATTTTACAAATCGAGGTTTTGGCCACTGAGGACATCAAAATGAAAAAGTAAATCGGTTCCAGGTCTAGGTCTTTCCGTACCGCCTACAGTAATAGCTTCTTCCCTATAGGAAAATTCGCTAAAAAAACGTTTTTATATAAAAATAGCAGACATTTTTTTTTAATATTGTGATATTTCAGGGTTGCCACCATAGTGGGATGACAAAATTCATGCAGAATTCATGATTTTCATTGGTAGTTTAAAAAAATTTATGGTCGATGCGCTTATACAACTTAAACACAATTGAGTTTTGCTGATTTCATAAACTGATGTTAAAGAGGCAGTTTCTTTGTGTGTTACTTTTGAATAACCTATCATACTTAATATACAACTTTTTTAGAGTGATTTATAAACATTCAAAACAAAGTTGAAAACAAAACTGGTCCAGCTGAGATACCGTATTAGAGAAGAATTGTAAAATGTATTAAGTCTAGGTCTATTTCAGTCTTTTCACCAGAATAAAACAAAAATCCCACTCACTCATCAAAAAAGTCCTGTTTTATCTCCCTACATAAAAATATGCATTCTCTTTTATCTTATTCCACAATGTACTAAGATATGATGGTTTTATCCAAAAATCTTTAAAAAATCAGGTGTCAGAGTCGGAAATTTGGTTTTATTGTGCATCACGTTTCAATTCTGTGCATGGTTTAAAACTTCTGTTTTTGTGATTTAAGTCCCCATCCCCCTTTTTCATAAGCGGGGGTAGGCCTACTAATGATTTTTCAAATCATATACAGTCCTCGGGAAGTCTCAGCTGACATTAGCATCTTTGAATGACTTGGAATGAACCAAGCAATTGTTTCTGATCGTGGAACATGTTAAATAATCATCCCCATACAGTATTTTCATGGTGTTCGTTTCTATAAACTGTTTTTGCTTTTAAATATGAATTTTTTTGAAAATTTATGGTACTGGTTGAATAGTTGTTCCTGATTTTGAAAATTCATGGTTCATTGGAGAAATCCATGCCTTTTTACATGGTCCCAAGAATTCATGCATAATTCAAGCTTTTCAAGGTTTTCATGGCTGGTGGCAACCCTGTATTTCAGTCCAGAGCCGAAACCCACCAGACTGGGTTGTTATAGGACCAGGTCCTTTTAAGCCTAACAGGTCATCTTAGTAAATTAAATCAAAAGGTAAGTTCAAGAGGTAAGATCAAAGGTAAGACGGGTGAGTAGTTGTACAGACCTGTTCAGTGAATATTTCCTGGGTGAAGATTTGTTTCATGCGGGTCATGTTGTTGTGTCTGATTGGCACCTTCATGCCCAAAGTAGATGAGACCAGTTCAAAGATGGCACTCAGTTGGTTACTGTGGAAGTGGATGGCCATGAGTAGGAGCATCTCTCCGAACGATGCAGTCACTCCACTCGCACTGCATCAAGTAATAACACACTAATTTGATTCATCGTATCATGACATTATATCTACATTCTTTCTAGAAGAGGTGAGCTGTGGTTAACTGGATGTGTCAGATGATTGTTCTCTAGGGTCGCTGCATCAACGCTTAGCTATAAGCTATTGGTGATTGTTGGAATTTAAACAAAGGACCTCGTAGGCCGAAGGCCTGTACTTCACCACTAGATCAAATCGCTCCCCTCATTTGTAACAACTAGTAACACTCTAAAGTTGTAACAATTATTCACAAAATATTTACAGCTTTGGTTTCTCTTTTACTTTTGTTTATCGTTCAACTTTCTAGGATGTACATTTAAACATTTGATTTAATATGTTTTATATGTACTGTAAATTACCATGTTATTCTTATGGAGAATATTGTAAAATGTTGTAGCTTGCTTGTTTATGGATATATTTTTACCAACTTGGCAAATTTATTTATTTTATTCTAAGCTATTAATATTTTACTGAAAAATACACTTTATTAGTTTCCTTGAAGCAGCAAACCTAGGTACTCATTAAACCAAATGTTATTTAAATAGATTTAATTGAAAATCAATTCAGACAAATGGAAATTCGCTTAGCCGTCGGCAGGTTTGCTGGGGCGGGGGTATTCTAGATTATTGCAGATCAAGTTAAAATCATGTTGGTCCATAAGATTTGCCTATTGGGTCTAATGATGATTGGAGTGTCCAATTGAAATCAATCACCACTTTCTATCTTTTATATGTATTGTAAATATATTATTACAAGTGTCATTTGCCGTATTTTTGTACTATCCTTATCCTGTCAATAGGGTACGTCATATACAGTAATGCAAGAGTTTATTTTTACACTTCAGTAGCAGAGAGAGGCTGGTCTTGACTACATAGTCAACTATCCTCAATACTAATCACCAAATAAACATAAATTCTTAAACATCATCAGATGTACATTCAAACTTTATTCTATAATAACTTTAGTATTGTACAGTACCTCTCAAAGTAAGCTTCCTCTCTTACAAGCCAGCGCACCCACTCAATACACTTGGTCTCATGTTCGTGCTGTGCTATCAAAGAAGGACAGGCTATGAGCATACACAGTCCCAGGGACACAAACCTCACTCCTGCAGGGGTGGGGGGAGGGTGGGAGGTCACCAGCTGTACTATCAGTGAGATCTCCTCCTCTTGAAACCTGTACACATTCAACAGTCACAAATATTTTCGGTCCTAATCGATAAAGACTAATTATTAAATGCAAATGCTTTTGATTAAGTTAAATCATTGCCTTTTGGATACTTAAGTAGACATCTTATCTATATGGACCGGCTGAAGCCAATTCATATTCAAACAGAACTTAGTTGGATGAGCCACAAAGTTTACTGCTGATAGTAGCCTACTATATATTTCATGTGACATAACAATTGCTAGAGTATACAATAAGTTGTCCTTTTAATTTAGTTTTGTTAAAAAAGTTTACACATCTATACTTATTTAAGGGGATACGCCACTATCTCCAACTTTTTTTTTATTATTTTATTTTTGTCAACCTAGTTAGTATATTTTGTTTATACTAGACTTAGTTAGAAGATTTAGGTACAAAAATATTGAATTTATAACTTCTTTACTAAATTTATATGCGTTTTTAGTTTTTTTCACCAACATTTTTAAGAAGTCGTTATTGAGAATAACTTTTCAACTACTGATCGGAATGACATATTCTATTTATTTCCTGATTCAGGATGAAATAATGAGTATTTCTGTGTATAATCGTTATGGTAACTAAAAAAACAAAATTTTTAGGACACCTTTTATTCAAAATATAAAAAAGCTGAAAAAAATATTTAAAATGTTTGCGTTAACATAAATATTTTTAGTAAATGTAATGCTATAGGGCTTACTATACACACAATCCTTTATTACTATATAAAGAAGGTCTGGTGAAAATTTGAATACTATAAGTATAGTACTAACGGAGTTATTCAAACTTTTGTACAATAATAACCTAAAAAACACAGTATTGAGATAATCGCAGGTGATGTAACAGGTGGTTGACAGGAGAAAAATTCCCATAACTACACTAACTTATTATTTTATATTATATATAAAAATAGCAAAGTACTTATTTTGTTTTAAATAAATGTACCCTACTTTATAACTCCATAATACATAATTATGATACACAATTAAAAGTGTACATATCAGGAACAAAAAAAAATAGTTCAAAATTTTGTTAAATTGCTGGTTGCGGCGTTTTATATTTTATTTTTTTTATACTAGAAGGAGTTGTCAGATTGGCAAACAATTTTAGCTAAATGTTCACATTTAAATGACCTATCTAAAAATGCAACTTTTGGAAAATGTAAAAAAAATATAAAATATGGCCTACAGATAGTGGCGTATCCTACGCAAGCAGGTTTTTTGTGACAATTACTCCTCCGAAACTACTGAACCGATTGACATGTTTTTGGTGTCATTGGAAAGAGCGTAACGTGAAGTTGTGCAGGAAACCTTCTTTTTAGGGAAATTATTGGAGAGTGAGGCCCTGGGTCCCTTTAAAATTTCGTATTTCTCCTTAAGGATAACATGGGAGATAATTTGTATTTACAGAAACATATGTTTGTTACTTGAAAATAATCATAGTCTACTATATAATAATTGCTGTGTATTATGACTGTTAATGTATACTAAATTTCAATCCAGGATTGTGTACCTTAAAGTTTACTCATAATGGATCTCACTACTTTATTTTAATGCTGGGAATAGTAAAATTTAGTTGAGACTAAGTTACCATAATTTAGAAAACTTTACTATAATAATTTATGTATTTAAAATCACACATCTTTGAGATTATTAATTCATTAGAAACGAAAGAGCTGACCGAGAAATCAAACAAATCATCTACTTCATGTGAATAATGTTTTTACACAAAGTTTTTTTTTAAACCAATAACTTGATTCTTTTTTACTTGTGAGAGTATTTTGAGTTTGCAGTTATGGAAGCACCAAGCCAAGTAACTTTTATCTCATTTTATTTATAAACTAACAGTATTAATGAATTACTACATGAACTTGACAAGTCAGGTAATTAATTGTCAGTATACCAAGGGGAAGAAGAGTAAGTCCTCGAAAACAGTCAAAGGCGGAGACGCCCATCTAGAAAATCCAACTGAGTTTTTAAATATAGAGATCAGTGGATTGCCAAGACACAGATTATACTAATAAAAGGGGGCAGTGGTTTTATTGATACGAGAGGTCGTCCAGTGGTCGAAACTCGACCAAAAATATGTAATGTACTCACTTCTCTATTTTCACCCCACACTGTAAATAAAACATGTGATTGGAGTTTCTTCCATTTGTTTTGATTTCCTGTTTATATTTCGTTGTTATTTCGTCACCAGCATGGCAACGCATAAGATCCATGTTAATATTTCAAATCTTTAAACTCATTTTTTGTGCTTATCTTTGAGCCTATTTAAATTTATAAAGGTATTCTGCACACCTACAGGAAAATAGCTTTCTAACGGTATGCGTAGATTTTCCCTACGATGCACACGAGCTGAGAAAAAAGGTTTTAAAGAAACATGCTTGCCTATTAATATATAGATTAATACATCAAAAAGGGCCTCATTAATGGCACAAGGCTTCATCTGAGCAGAACGGTTAACAACAATGTAAAGTAGAATGTAAAGTCCAAACTGGAACAAGTGAGTAGGGACATATTTTGATTTCGAGGATAAAAATTTGCCCGTCTGAAACAAAGTTACCTTTTAAAATGGAAAGATGCTAATTTCTAAATTCATATGTTTTTGCGGGGCATTGAGCCGCACAGGTTTACTTGTTTGACACGAATCAGTAATTTAAATCAGCATAATTGTTTGTGGGCTTGATTAATTTAGGTTCATTTTTTATCTAAAACTGCCTACAACTTTCATATGAAAGTGGGATGTCTACTTTTATTAGTAGTTATAGGGTTATTATATATTTATCACACTATCACCTAAATAAAGTAGATTTTACCAAGTGGAAGTAGTGAAACACTGCTGCTTATGTTTTTATTTAACTATAAATACTTTATTATTTTGAGCATTTATTATACAAAAGGGTACTTATCTACATCTGCCATAACTAAACTCAAAACTACAGTAAAACCTCACTAACTCGACAATCCTTTTTTTTAACTCCTTTTAACTTAATAAGTTTAACCAAATGTACATTTATCCAATTTTTTTGTTCAGTATAATTCTTTGAGACAGCGATGCACACTGTAGTGGGTAATTTAAGCTGAATATGAGCAGGGTGAGTGTAGAATGGCGCGAGATGATCTGTGTATCTTAGTTACAGACTAAGATGAACTGTCAAAAAGCTATAGTAATTTCTCAGCCTTGGTAGGTGAGTGGACATAGTACTCGGCCGGTAATAAGAAGGTTGCTGGTTTAGCAAGTAACAGAGGTATTATTTTGTTCATATGAAACTCATTCTTCACTTATCTTTGCCTTAAAACCAAATGGTGTTGCATAAATGAGGTTTGATAAAACTAACTTAATGTTTCATGATTAAGGTTGAACATTCCAATTATTTGAGCCTGATTGACGTACTTGGTGCCGGCTATGCCTCGTAGAGCACAGTAGAGTCGTAGCAATGCCGAGGCCTGCACCACGCGACTCTCTGGCAGCTTGTTGTTGGGAGAGAACAGCGTAATGTCCTGCAGCTGATGGATCAGCTCGTCTCGTAGAGCCTGCATTGTAGCACTGTTCTCTCTGTGGCGTTGCTATGACAAAACATGATGTTATGATGTATACTCTAAACATTCACAAGTAAATCTGTGGCTTGGTGCTAAATGGGCCAATGTCAAAATCGCTTCATTTACAGGAGCGCCATCTAAAGTTTTTCTCAAATATTCTAATGCAGTTTAAATTTATGGCGAAAGAGCTAGTATCCTATACATTTCATAGTTTGTTTTACATTCATCTCTTCTATATTGAGGTATTTAACATTTTTTATTAAATATTATACTGACAAATTTGTTAACGACATTGGCCCTTTTATTTAAACAAATTATCATTTATTTTTGGACATTGACCTTTTTTCATATGATTTAATAGATTTAAAAACAATGTAAACTCAGTTAAATACCGTATTTAAGAAGTCTGTTAGCTAAAAAAACAGGAAAAATGTATTATGTGATGTTATAAGGAAGCTATAGGGAATTATTTATTCAAATTTGCTTGGATAAACAATTTTTATGAGACCTGTTTTTAATACAAATCAAGAACATTTTCAGCAATAAACATGTTCAGCATCAAACTTTCAGTCTTTAAAATCAGTTAGTTTTAGGAGTCTTTTGTTCAGTCATCGTTATCTTGAATTATCAAATTACATTTTCTTAGCTAAACAATGTTAATAAGACATATTTAATACAAATCAAGAACATTTTCATAGTTACATTGCTTAATATAGTTAAACATTTTCTAAATCTTTCTAATAGTCTTTAATATGAGTCCATATTAGTCCTTTGTTCAGTCATCGTTATCTTCAGACTCCTTGTTTGACCCAAAATCTTCAATGTCTGTACATAACGTCTGTAAATAAACATTACTTACTGTAAGACCGTCCAAGAAGGTTTCATAAAACAATCGACTGCCTGGTTGGACAAATTGTTTAAGACTTTTAAGGTCTTTCAATTTTTCTTTTGAAAGATGTAGGGGATTCGTTGCAAGAGGTTTCAAGTTGTCTTGTGAATTTGATTTCCGTTTCCACTTATGACCTATGTCAAGATCTTTAAAGGGTTCAGTCTCTGAAAATGAATACTTGTAGCGAATACCAGGGCCGGATTTGCCAATAGGCCAAGTAGGCCCAGGCCTATGGGCGCAAGCTCCCAGGGGGCGCACGGCTATATATTTAAATATTTAGAAATCAACATAAATAGCCATAAATAAAGATATCTTGCGAATTGATTCTAAACAATCTGGCTAGTAGAGTTTAAACTTAAGTTTATTGGAACAAATAATTGTTGGCAAAGTTCAACTATTTTTCAATATTACCACAGAAAACATACTACTATAATCCAGAATGCCAACCGCATGGTAAAAAGCGTTAACTACTCGGAGAGAGCTTTGCCTGTCAATTCGTAGGCAGCGCCACCAGTGTTGCTGATATGTTTTAACATTGTTTAAATTGCAGCTGACTTTTAACTTGTTTTTGTTATTGTTTTTGTTTCTAGTTTTTGACTCATGAATAAGTTCAGTTCTATTTTATTAAACTAATTTACCTATCAATTTATGTATTTACTTCAAACATAAAACTGGCGATGAGGATGATTTTATGGAAAACTTAGAGTGCAAGATAGTTTATTCAATTCCACAGTCTAATTCATAATAATGTCTGAAGATACATTACCAGCAAACTCTTAATAATCCTATGTTGGTAAGTCAACCTAGATGTGAAAAATTTAACCCTAATTCATGCGACATTGATGTTTGGAATACTAGGTGGCGTTCGCAGAGGCATCCACAAAATTGAGCGGAGTCATCAAGGGTTCATATTATATTGTTTTTGTCTTACTGCAGTAAAAACAGTATTTTTTCATGCATGCGCTGCGGGTCTAAAGTAGCATTTTTAATATTTAGGGAGTAAAAATCGTTTTTAGCCTCTATGGAGTAAAAATCAGCTGTTGTCAACTCAGTTGTAAATTTCGATTGTAAACGATTGCATGTATCGAAAATATGTATCGATTTGTGCTTCGTAATCATTTTAACATATTACAGTCTACAGTCTCTTCCCGTAGCATTTTAGCATTGCAGATACATTAATCCATTCCCAAACTCAACACTGCTGACCTTTACTACTTCCTTCACCACACCCTACGTCGTGGACCTGTTTCCCTCTCTTCCCATAGCATTTTAGGATTGCAGATACATTAATGTAATTGCCAAAGACAGTTCCCACACTCTGCGATGTTAGCCTTACTACTTCCTTCACCATTTACTACGTCATTGGCCTGTTTCCTTCCTTTCTCATAGCATTTAAGTATTACAAATTCATTTATCCATCTGCTCAAACGGTTCCCCCACTCTGCACTGCCGCCAGTCTTTACTACTTCCTTCACCACTTATGTTGTGGACCTGTATTCATCGCTTTCCATAGCATTTTAGTATTTTAGATACGTTAATCTAATTGCAACAAACATCCCCACTGTCCGTACTGCTAGAATTTACTACTTCTTTCACAATTTCCTATGTTTTGGGCATGCTTCCATCCCTTCTCATAGCATTTCAGCATTGCAGATACATTAAAACTGCTACAAACGGTTTCCAGTTCCCACACTCCACACTGCTCACCTTACTACTTCTTTCACCTGTTCCTACGTCGAGGATCTGTTTCCCTCTCTTCCCATAGCATTTTAAGATTGCAGATACCTGAATCTAATCGTCATAAACAGATCCCACACTCCGAACAGCTCGCCTTTACTACTTCCTTCGCCACTTCCCACATCGCGGACCTGTTTCCCTCCCTTTCCGTAGCATTTTAGGAATGTAGAGACCTTAATCTAATCGTCATAAACAGTTTCCATACTCCAGACTGTTCACCTTTACTACTTCCTTAACCTCTTCATACGTCACGAACCTCAAGCTAGTGTCGTCATTTGATTATAGTACCTGGGGACCGAGCTTTGCTCGGGGAAAATCATTAGTTCACTCTGAAAGCACCGTAGTATTGGAGATACATAAATCCACACATCTACATCCTACACAATTTCCTACGTCATGGATCTGTTTCCCTCCATTCCATTGCATTTAAAGATTGCAGATACCTTAATCTAATCGTCATAAACAGTTCCCACACTCCGGACTACTCGCCTTGACTACTTCCTTCACCACTTCCTACGTCGCGGACCTGTTTCGCTCCCTTCCCATAGCATTTTAGGATTGCAAATACCTTAATCTAATCGTCATAAACAGTTCCCACACTCCGGACAGCTCACCTTGACTACTTCCTTCATCACTTCCTACGTTGCGGACCTGTTTTTTTCCCTTCCCGTAGCATTTTAGGTTTGCTGATACCATAATCTAATTGTCATAAACATTTCAAACACTCCGGACAACTCGCCTAGACTACTTCCTTCACCACTTCCTACGTCGCGGACCTATTTTCCTCCCTTTCCATAGCATTTTAGAATTGCAAATACCTTAATCTGATCGTCATAAACAGTCCCCACACTCCGGACAGCTCACCTTGACTACTTCCTTCATCACTTCCTACGTCGCGGACCTGTTTTCCTCCCTTCCCGTAGCATTTTAGGTTTGCTGATACCTTAATCTAATTGTCATAAACATTTCCAACACTCCGGACAACTCGCCTAGACTACTTCCTTCACCACTTCCTACGTCGCGGACCTATTTTCCTCCCTTTCCATAGCATTTTAGAATTGCAAATACCTTAATCTAATCGTCATAAACAGTCCCCACACTCCGGACAGCTCACCTTGACTACTTCCTTCATCACTTCCTACGTCGCGGACCTGTTTTCCTCCCTTCCCGTAGCATTTTAGGTTTGCTGATACCTTAATCTAATTGTCATAAACATTTCCAACACTCCGGACAACTCGCCTAGACTACTTCCTTCACCACTTTCTACGTCGCGGACCTATTTTCCTCCCTTTCCATAGCATTTTAGGATTGCAAATACCTTAATCTAATCATCATAAACAGTTCCCACGCTCCAGACAGCTCGCCTTGACTACTTCCTTCACCACTTCTTACGTCACGGACCTGTTTCCCTCCCTTCCCATAGCATTTTAGGATTGCCCATACCCTTATCTAATCGCCATAAACAGTTCCCTCACTCCTGACAGCTCGCCTTGACTACTTCCTTCACCACTTCCTACGTCGCGGACCTCTTTCCCTCCCTTCCCATAGCATTTTAGGATTGCCCATACCCTTATCTTATCGTCATAAACAGTTCCAACACTCCGGACAGCTCGCTTTGACTACTTCCTTCACCACTTCCTACGTCACGGGCCTGTTTCCCTCCCTTTCCCATAGCATTTTTGATTGCCCATACCCTTATCTAATCGTCATAATAGTTCCAACACTCCGGACAGCTCGCCTTGACTACTTCCTTCACCACTTCCTACGTCGCAAACATGTTTCCCTCCCTTCCCATTGCACTTAAAGATTGCAGATACCTTATTCTAATCGTCATAAACAGTTCCCGCACTCCGGACTACTCGCCTTGACTACTTCCTTCACCACTTCCTACGTCGCGGACCCGTTTTCCTCCCTTCCCATAGCATTTTAGTATTGCAGATACCCTAATCTTATCGTCATAAACATTCCCCACACTCCGGACTGCTAGCATTTACTACTTCCTTCATCACTTCCTACGTCACGGACCTGTTTCCCTCTATTCCCATAGCATTTTATGATTGCCTATACTACTTCCTTCACTACTTCTTACGTCACGGACCTGTTTCCTTCCCTTCCCATAGCATTTTAGGATTGCAGATACCTTAATGTATTCGTCATAAACAGATCCTAGACTTCGCACTGCTACCCTTGACTACAATGTATCGAGTAATCTTAAGTATAATCTTTGCTCAATATTAACAAGTGATATTTTCCTTTTGTACTGTATTTGTAATTTCCTAGTATACTGTGGGTAGTTGGCTTATTATGAGCACATGCTAAAACTTCAAATCTTTTGTTTACTTTTTACTTGTTATTTAATTCAGCCAACATGGTTACCTAGCAACCCATAAGACTAATGTTA